AGATTGGCAATGTGGGGTTAATTATGAATTCAACTTCTTTAATTAATATAAGGAAATTCATATTGAGTGTAAAATTCTGCTTGAGCTTTCTTTCATAATTTGTATCTTTCAAGAAATTGGCCCATTTTAACTAAATATTTAAAATTTAGTGGCATTAATGTATTCATGGCATTTCTTTTTGTTTTAATGTCTGTAGTATTTTTACACACCACTCTTACATTCCCAATATTGATATTTTGTATTTTCTTTCTTTTTTTCTTAATCAATCTAATTAGAATTTTATTAACATTACTGATCTTTTTTGGGAACCAGACTTTTCCTTTATTGACAGTTTCTAGTATTTATCAATTTTCTATTTTATTGGTTTCTGATCCTCTTTTCTTCTTATTCTGAATTTAATTTGCTTTCTAGTTTTTTGATATGAAAACTTAGGTCATTTATTTCATATGTTTTTCATATGTTTTTTCATAAATATTTATTTATTTATTTTAAAATTTTTATTTATTTATTTGACAGAAGAGATCACAAGTAGGCAGAGAGTCAGGCAGAGAGAGTGGGAGAAGCAGGCTCCCCACTGAGCAGAGAGCCCGATGTGGGACTCGATCCCAGGACCCTGAGATCATGACCTGAGCCAAAGGCAGAGGCTTAACCCACTGAGCCACCCAGGCGTCCCTCTTATACATATTTAAAGCTAAAAATTTATCTTCAAAAACTGTCTTCACTGCATCCCACAATTGTAACATATTATATTTTCACCTTCAGTAAATTGAAAGTATTTCCTAATTTCCTTGTGATTTATTATTTTATCTTTAGATCATGCAGAAATACACTTTTAACTTCCAAATATTTGAGGTTCTCCAGATATATTTTTATCATTAGTTTTGAAGTTAATTGTGTTGTAGTGAAAGAACAAATTCACAAAGAGGTACATTACAACCATATTGAAGGAAACATCTCAATCATGGGTTATTCCAAATATGTAAGGACCTCACTACTGGGAAGGAGCTACAGGTAGGCATGGGAAAGAGTGAAGGGGCAAAGAGGATTGAGAAAGCAAAGAAAACCCAGTCGGGACAGCATAGGTGGGCAGTTAAGTACTTTATTTCCATGTCTAGGACAGAAAGCAGAATCCTAAGGACAAAGCTGAAGTTTGAGTTCAAGAGCCAAGTACCACACCTACTTGACTTTACCCTCAAAACACCTATGCAAAATACAACTGACTTAGAGATGAGGAAGAGTAAGGGAGATTAAAATTATTTTGTAATTTTTAAATAAAAGATAGTTATTAGATCTATTGCAGACTTTGGTAGATTCCCTACATGAATATGTGATTCCTTTTAAAAAAACTATTTTCTTAAAATTTTATCTGGGAGAGACCATTAAGAAAAGAAGTAAGTATTGTATCCTAGATGTTTAAAACAACTAAATAATGGAAAATTATTTGTGGAAATTATTCCAAGGGCACATTTGTTTTTATTTTTACATAAAAGATATGACATTTAAAATTTTTAAGGATTAGAAATTGAAGTTAAAATAACTAATATTAATTAAGATTCTTCTCTCTTAAAAAAAAAAAAAAAAGATTCTTCTCTCTTGATAATGCATATTGAGAAAAATATCATTATTTTTGGGGTGCTACTACAGCTCAGTCAGTTAACCATCTGCCTTCACCTTAGGTCATGATCTCAGGGTCCTGTGATGGAACCCCACACTGGGGTCCTCGCTCTATGGGGAGCCTGCTTCTCCCTCTCCTTTTGCCCCTCTCCCTGCTCATGTGTTCTCTCTCCCCCTCTCTCAAGTAAATAAATAAAATCTTTTGAAAAAATCATCATTTTAAGAGCATAATTACTTGGTGAATTAAAGGAACATAGGCTTAGAGTTCCTTTGTCACCAAAAGCTGCCCTGCTTCCTGAGCTCCCACAGGAGCAAAGATCTAATCATCACATAATTCTGTGCTATAAGTCTTATTTAATACTCATCTTCTCTTCAAGTGGATCTTTCAGTCCCTTCAGATTGACTTATTCACATCGCATATGAAAACACACATACGCAGACACAAGGATTACCCCCGGCTGCCCACTTCTTCTTTTACTGACTCACTTACCTTTACGAATGTGGATCAGTCAGGGTTCTCCAGAGAAACAGAACTAACATAATATGCATACATGTGCACATCTGCTTGCTAGGTGGCGGGAGCCAGACTCCTTACGGACAAGCCTGGAAAGGGGGTCTCTGGCACCTGCGGCACGCAGCTGTTTCTCATTCCAGGAATCCCTGGCAGGAGCTGGGCTCCTGTGAAGGAGCTCCGAGATCCCACGAGATGAGGCTCCCTCCGGGAGAGTGGTTCACCTGCGCAGCCCAGTGGCCGGTTCAGTTGGGCTCTGAGCCACCTTTGAGGCTCAGCACATCCCAGCCCATCCTGGCCCAGCCCTGCCATCTAGACCCACACCTACCCCTCCTACGTATCAAATAAAAGAAAAAAGAAAAAAACAAACTCTCTCCCTTAATCCCTCACTCTCACTCGCTCTCTCCCTGTTCAAATCATGGAGGACCTTATAGCAAGGATATAATAAGGAGCTCAAAATTTCTTGTAAGAGCAATGGCAAGCAGTTCAAGGAGGGCGGCATGACCTATCTCTAACTAGAGAGAGAGATTTTAAGGAATTAGCTCACGTGGTCCAGGTGACTGGCAGGCTCAAAATCTACAGGTAGGCCTGCAAGCTGAAGACTGGGGGAGGAACTACAGTTCAATTCCAAGGGTGGTCTGTTGGCAGAATTCTCTCTTCTTCAGGGGAGGTTAGCATTTTTCTATTAAAGCTATTAACTGGCTGGATGACAGCCACCCATTTTTTGAAGAATAATGCTTTACTCAAAGCCTACTGATTTAAATGTTAATCTTGTCTACAAAATAACTGTCACAGAAACATCTAGAATCATGTGTGATCTAATTAATACCTGGGTACTGTGACCCAACCAGGTTGACATATAACATTAACCATACAAATGGCTTCTCCATCTCCTGTCACAGTGCTACTCGTCTTTTCTGGTCTAAAAGTGACCTGGTTCCCTAATCCTATAAATTCATTCTGATCTTTTATCTTAATTCTTCTGTTTTGTACTACTGCTTTTGGATCTGATGCTGTGAAAAATGATATTGAAAGCCCTAGAAAGTGTTTCAGCTCACTTTTTACTTGTTATCTCTGGGTTTGTGGAATGTGAATGTCCTTAAAAACAGAGACTCTTGGGGCACCTGGGTGGCTCAGTGGGTTAAAGCCTCTGCCTTTGGCTCAGGTCATGATCCCAGGGTCCTGGGATCGAGTGCCACATTGGGCTCTCTGCTAGGCAGGGAGCCTGCTTCCCTTCCTCTCTCTCTCTGCCTCTCTCTGCCTACTTGTGATCTCTCTCTCTCTGTGTCAAATAAATTAAAACCTTAAAAAAAAAAAAAAGAGACTCCGTTGCTTTTCTCCAGCACCTACCACTATGTGTTGGAAACAGTTTTAAATCAAACAGTATTGAAAAACTGCGATCTTTCACTCAGAAAAATTTTTTGGACTCCCACATGAGAATATGTTTCACAAGCTAATATATTTATATGTGTATATATAACATAAAAACATATATATGTGTTTTTTAAAACATATATATATGTTTTATTCATTGATATCAACCCCAATACCTAGAAGAGTGCCTGGATCATATTACCTTAACAACCATCTGGTAAAGAAATTAGAAAGAGTCAACGGTGCATAAGGAGGGAATTAAATACAATATAAATTCTATGGAAGAGGGGATCTTATGCTTCTTGTATATACTCAAAGCACACACAACTCTAGACATTATTAATTGCTCATTTAATGAGTACACTGACCTTAGCAAAAATTCAACAGATTCTCTGTATTATCAGTTACCACCTTATTAGATAAGTGCTTTTATTTGCTAAAAAGAAAATCCACAATATAGGAATGGTATTGTCAGATTATACTAAATAAAATAAAAATTATGACTATTTCATTTTTGTCCTAATAAAACTTGTGCCTCATGGGCATCTTTCACTTGAATTCTATCATTGAATCACCTCAGAACTAAAATACTGTATTTTTTAAAGTAAAATTTAATATACTATATGTTTTAGCAAGAAATGTTAAGTTTTCAACATCTTTTAGATACCTTTGTAACCTTATAAAAAATACATCTAACATATATATATATGTATATACATATTATATATATATATTTTTTAAGATTTTATTTATTTATTTGAGATAGAGAGAGCACGAGCAGGGAGAGGGGCAGAAGGAGAAGAAGAGTGGAGGGAGAGAGAGAAGTAGATCTCCCACTGAGCAGGGAGCCTGACTTGGAGCTCCATCCCAGGCTCCATCCCAGGACACCTGGATTATGACTTGAGCCAAAGGCAGATGCTTAACTACTGAACCACCCAGGCACCCCTAACATGTATGTTTTTAAAATATCTATTCTACACTAGTTAAATAAAAGTCAAAATTAAAATGATCATCTGTAATATGTATTCCAAGAACAAACATTTAGCATGCTTCTTCTTTTTCCTGCTAAAAGACCCTGCTGCAATGATAAAATAAAATGCATATTTTATTTAAGGTCTAATATTTCATTAATTCCACACAAGAAAACTAAGAATTCCCAACAACAATGTTTTTAGGTTACAATTTTTACTTATTTTCATAATGAGATCAACAGAGAAGTTGTAGAAGTATAGGGATTAGGAAAAGAAGATCATTTTATTTTTACATGACTAGAATGTCCATGTAGATGACCTCTCATGCAGAGATGTGATTACATTAATCATTTTCAAGTCCATCATTCCTATAATCCATGTATGTGCATATATGTGCATCTAAACCTGGCTTTTACTACATGAAATGACATAGAAAAGAAAATCCTAGTAGAAGACTTTCTGTAATTATCCCATTTCTTCTGTAAAATTGGTAACTAATGTAATAAAAGTATTTACTTTTCCATTCATAGGACCTAATTGGTGACCTGAAGGAGAAGCTTTCAGATCACTTCAAAGACGTCATGGTTGGCCTCATGTACCCACCATCATCTTATGATGCTCATGAACTCTGGCATGCCATGAAGGTAGTGGTCTAACACAAAAATATACCTGTAATAATTACAAGGCAGTATTTCAGTAGAAAGGGAACTGTCCTGTGATGTTACTGTGTGATCAGGGGTAGGGAAGGGAATATCTGAGCAAAAATTAAACAATGAAAATGCTGCACTCAGGAGAAGTAACCATGTTAGGAAGAGGGACCTCTGCACCCTAGTAGCTGGGATCAGCCTGTTCTTTCGCCATACAAACTCAAATCCACTGACCCAGCTCGATGCCAAACTACCAAAAGAAAAACCTGAATTAGTTTCCAGGGCTATTCATATTCATCTTTCCCTGGTATGTACTCATATAGTAAGCAAAAATGTTCTAAATCATGTGAACCTCTTTAAATTATTTGTAAAAACTGGACTCGCTAAGTAAAAATAGATAGTGAGTCAGAGACAAAATATAGATGGTATCTTTGCTTATTTTTGTGACCTTAAGTTACTCCTTTACAAAAACTATTGCTCAAATGTATAAAAATTTTACTTCTGAAGAATTTAATTCTTCCTTACAGAAAAGTCATTTCCATGAAATAAATTGACTACAGATTTGTTAGAGACTTTGTTGGCTAGGGATGGGGTACAAAAGACTTTTTACATCTTTGCAAATGCCGATATTAAACACCTGCAGAACTGTTGCAATCATTCCAATACAATGCCTGCCAATGACCAGATTACTCAATCTGTGAACAATGTGTGACAGAAAAGAGGAAAGGGGAACAAATTAAGGGAACCTGGATTTTGGCCATCATGTTTGCAGATGAGAATAATCATTGTATAAAATTGATATACATTTCAACCAATTGCTTTTTTCTAAGTTGTATATGGCAATTCCTACCTCTTGCAATATTATGTGACTACAAACTATAAGAAGGAAGTCTTAGGTTATGGTTTAGATAAACTGTTGTATTTTATCAGTATCACATGGAATGGTAAGGATTTATAAAAGTTTCTGGAAGATGTGTTGTCTTTATAATCACTAGAGCAAAATAATGGATGCATATAGATGTAAGAGACTGTAGAAAGTACCCAGTCCAATGCTTAGACAAATGGTACATAAATCCACATTTAGAGGAGGAGCAAGATAGTGGAGGAGAAGGAGGCCCAAATATCATCAGGTCCCAGGAATTCAGCTAGATAGATATCAAATGATTCTGAACACCTACAAACTCAACAGAAGAAAGAAGAAGAGAAGCAATTCTAGGAACAGAAAATTGACCACTTTCTGGAAGGTAGGAAATGTGAAGTGAATCTGAGGCAACATTCAGGAAGATAGGCTCTGGGGGGAGGGGCCGGATCCTGGCAAGGGAGAGCATAGTAGAAGTCTGCTCCACTGAGGGACGTTGCTCCAGAGGCTAAGAGGGAGGTGGAGCCCTCATGGAGACAGCATGTTCTCAGGATCTGCAGGGTTATGAAAAGATCAGGAGTGTCAGAGTATGGCAGAGCTCCCATGTATGGGAATGGGGAAGCCGGCTACAGAGAGAGAGCTGAGCTGTGGGCTCTCAGCTCATTGTTACCCTAAACCATGATCCAAGGCACAGTCAGGCCACTGCTTTTTGGGCAGGGACAAAATAAGCAGCAGATCCAGGGAAACTCACATCCCTCCTCTGGGAGGAGTGGTGTGGGAGTGCATTGCAGAAATCTGCTGGGTTTGGAGATTCCAAAGAGGGCCGTGCACCAGAGATAGAAACAGTCACAGGCTAAGTGAGCTCAGAGTGTAGCTGGAGACGAGGGAGACAGGAGGGATTGACTGTTTTTCTCTGAGGGTGCACTGAGGAGTGGTGCCCTGAGCTCTTGGCTCCTATGGGACTGGAGATTGGGAGGCCACCATCTTCATTCCCTTACAGAAAGTGTTGAGGGAACAAAAGCTACCAAGAGCAAAACAGAGCAGATTACTTAGCCTGACCCCTAGGAAGGTCAGTGCAATTCCGCCTTAAGCAAAGACATTTGAGAATCACTGCAACAGGTCCCTCCCCAAGAAGATCAGCAAAAGCATCCAGCCAAGACCAAGTTCACTGATCAATGATAACTGCAGAACTCCAGAACTAGGGGAAAGTAATACATAGAATTCATGACTTTTTCCCCATGATCCTTTAGTCTTTCAAAGTTAAATTTTTTTTAATTTTATTGTTTTCTTATTCTATTTTTTTAATTTTTCCTCTTTCTTATTTTAATGTTTTTAAACTATTTTATCTCATCAATACTTTTTAAAAATATTTTAAAATTCTCATTGTTATAGTCATATTTTATCCCTTCATTGATTTTTATTTTTTTGCATTTTATTGCATTTTATTTTTTGTATACATACAGGGTTTTTTTCCTTTATAGTTTTGGGATAAAATTTCTTCTAATAGATGAAAATATAGTGCATGACTTTGTTCTAGTCTCCAGTCTGATCACATTTTTTTTAATTTTCTTTTTTCAATAAACTTCTTATCAATTCCTTTTTTAGAATCTTTTTTAATTTTCATCTTTACAGTTGTATTCCTTCCCATCATGTTTACCCTTATTTTTGTATATATATAAGTTTGTTTTTCTTTAAAATTTTGGGAGGTAGTTTCTTCTAACAGACCAAAATACAACCAAAATCAAGTGTGTGGCTCTGTTCTATTCACCAATCTAATATATATATTTTTTTCTTTCTTTTCTCTCCTTTCTTCTGCCCCCAGTTCTTGGTCTCTTCCAAGTTGGTTAGTGTATATTTTTCTGGGGTCAATGCTACCCTTTTAGTGTTTTGTTCTCTCATTCATCTATAATTATCTAGATAAAATGACAAGGTGGAAAAACTCACCACCAAAAAAAAAGAGGCAATACTGATGGCTAGGGACCTAATCAATACAGACATTAGTAACATGTCAGAACTAGAGTTCAGAATGACAATTATCAAGGTACTAGCTGGACTTGAAAAAAAGCATAGAAGATACTACAGAATCCCTTTCTAGAGAAGTAAAAGAACTAAAACCTAACCAAGTCAAAATCAAAAAGGCTATTACTGAGGTGTAATCAAAAATGGAGGCTCTAACTGCTAGGATAAATGAGGCATAAGAGAGAATTAATGATATAGAAGACCAAATGATGGAAAATAAAGAAGCTGAGAAAAAAGAGAGGTAAACAACTACTGGATCATGAGGGGAGAATTCGAGAGAGAAGTGGAATTACATAAACCAATTAATAACAAATCAAAGGAACACATCAATAATACAATAATAACTTTATTATTTATTATATATATTATTACTTATTATTAACACTCCCCTCAACAAAATGGACAGATCATCTAAACAAAAGATCAACAAGGAAATAAAGACTTTAAATAACACAGTGGATCAGATAGACATCAGAGATATATTTAGAACATTCCATCCCCCAAAAAAACAGAATACACATTCTTCTCTACTGCACATGGAACATTCTTCAGAATAGATCACATCCTGGGTCAAAAATCAGGTCTCGACCAGTACCAAAAGATTGGGATTATTCCCTGCATATTTTCAGACCACAATGCTCTGAAGCTAGAACTCAATCACAAGAAGAAAGTTGGAAAGAACTCAAATACATGGAAGCTAAAGAGCATCCTACTAAATAATGATTGGGTCAACCAGGACATTAAAGAAGAATTGAAAAATTCATGGAAACAAATGAAAATGAAAACACAAGTGTTCAAAAATCTTTGGGACACAGCAAATGTAGTCCTGAGAGGAAAGTACATTGGAATACAGTCCTTTCTCAAGAAACAAGAAAGGTCTCAAGTGCACAACCTAACCCTACACCTGAAGGAGTTGGAGAAAGAACAGCAAAGAAAGCCTAAAACCAGCACAAGAAAAGAAATAATAAAAATCAGAGCAGAAATCAATGGAAGAGAAACCTAAAGTACAGTAAAACAAATCAACAAAGCTAGGAGCTGGTCCTCTGAAAGATTGACAAACCTTTGGCCAGGCTTATAAAAAAGAAAAAAGAAAGGACCCAAATTAATAAAGTCATGAGTGGAAAAGAAGAAATCACAAGCAACAACAAAGAAAAACAAACAATTATAAGAACATATAATGAGCAACTATACACCAACAAATTTGACAATCTGGAAGAAATGGATCCATTCCTAGAGAGGTATAAACTACCAAAACTGAACCAGAAAGAAATAGAAAACCTGAACAGACCCATAACCAGTAAGGAGATTGAACCAGTCATCAAAAATCTCCCAACAAACATGAGCCCAGGGCCAGATGGCTTCCCAGGGGAATTCTACCAAACATTTTTTTTTTAATGTTATTTTTTTTTTAATTTTATTTTTTATAAACATATAATATATTTTTATCCCCAGGGGTACAGGTCTGTGAATCGCCAGGTTTACACACTTCACAGCACTCATCATAGCACATACCCTCCACAATGTCCATAATCCCACCCCCCCAACCCCCCTCCCCCCATTAACCCTCAGTTTGTTTTGTGAGATTAAGAGTCACTTATGGTTTGTCTCCCTCCCAATCCCATCTTGTTTCATTTACTCTTCTCCTACCCCCTTAACCCCCCATGTTGCATCTCCTCTCCCTCATATCAGGGAGGTCATATGATAGTTGTCTTTCTGCGATTGACTTATTTCGCTAAGCATGATACCCTCTAGTTCCATCCACGTCATCGCAAATGGCAAGATTTCATTTCTTTTGATGGCTGCATAGTATTCCATTGTGTATATATACCACATCTTCTTTATCCATTCGTCTGTTGATGGACATCTAGGTTCTTTCCATAGTTTGGCTATTGTAGACATTGCTGCTATAAACATTCGGGTGCACGTGCCCCTTCGGATCACTACGTTTGTATCTTTAGGGTAAATACCCAGCAGTGCAATTGCTGGGTCATAGGGTAGTTCTATTTTCAACATTTTGAGGAACCTCCATGCTGTTTTCCAGAGTGGTTGCACCAGCTCGCATTCCCACCAACAGTGTAGGAGGGTTCCCCTTTCTCCGCATCCTCGCCAGCATCTGTCA